GCCTGCCCTCGTTCCCGCCAGGGCCCAGCTGCTCAGCTCCCCCTTCAGAGAGCGGGGAGAGGCTCAGATGTGGCAGCAGAGAGCAGGCAGGATGAGGGACGAGCCCCCTTTGCTGCTGCCATCCCCTGCTACCATCTGCCATCTGGCCCAGGGCCGCAGGGGTGGGCCTTCGGACAGATGGGGCATTGGATCAGACAGCCTCACAGGAACGGAGGGGACCTCTCACCCTGGCCCTGCTGGGCAGCTGCAGGTGAACCAGGGTCCTCGCTGGGCCCTAGCGTACTGGGGAGCATCTCCTGAGCCTCTAGCTTTGGACCTGGGATGTTCCAGATAAGCCCCTGTTTACCTACCTCCCTTCCCTGGTCCCACATAGAGCACAGTCATTTTCAGACCCTGGGGCATGGGACCTCCTGCCAAAAGTCACCCAGCTGGAAGTCTGGGTCTGCAGGGGCCGGCCAGCTGGGTCCTCTGTAGTCCCAGATATGCTCTGAAAAAACCCTCCCCGCGACAGTTCAAGAGTCCCGTTTTACAGATGAGCAAACTGAGGCCCAGAGAGGCCTATTATCCTGGCCAAATGCACACAGCAAGGTCAACCCCCAGAGGCTGGTGGGGTGGTCCCATCTCCTGTCCATACGCCCAGTCCCACCAAGCTGGCTGTGAAAATATCTAACCTCCATGCTCTCCCCAGGAACATGGGCACGTGCCACCCCCCCCCCAGTCTCAAAGCCCCACCCCTGAGAATGGGAAATGAAGGGGTCTCCGTAAGGTCTCAAAGCACCTACAGTACACAAAGCACTATTCCCTTCACCCTAAGAACCCTGCTAGCACTTAGTACCTTAGCCCTCAATAGGTGCTCAAGAGTTTTGTTCATAACAACGTTCAGAAAGCAGTCTGAATCCCCCCCCAGCACCTCATCTTTCACCACGGCCCCTCCCCAGCTCACGCCTCTGTGGGATTTCCGGGGTGCTTGGTGCTGACTCGGCCGCCTGAGAGGGGCAGGCCCCAGCAGGCCCCTCCTGGACTGGAGGCAGGGAGCCCTTCTCCTGGCCCCCACGCCCAGCCGTCCCCATGGAAGCGCACAGTAGGGGTGCAGCAGAACCGGGTGGACCAAAAACTAACGAAACACCCTATAGAGGGCCCACACCCGGCTCCACCCACCTGGCAGCTGGGGCACACCCAGTGTCTCTAAGGCCTGCCGGTTCCACCTCAGATCTAACCTAGGGTCAACATGCTATTGCCACTTTCCACGGTAACAGGACCCAGGCCTAAGTTGAATTCTTCAGGGTCCTCCTCTGTGTTCCAGAACTTTCTGAAACTCACCTGGGCCCTTCCCTGGGGTGAGGAGCTGCTTGAGCAAGTTCCATTTACCTTCCTTCCCACAGCTCTGGGCTTTCTGTTTAAGGGAAACTGAGGGGGTCTGGCCAAGGTCATGTAGCTCACCAGATGTCTGGGCCTGAGCTCCTTGCCCTCCTCAAGCGTGGGTACACAGGGGAAGGCTGGAGGCAGGGAGGGGCCTGGCACAGCAGGTGTCCAGAAGGAAGCTGGAAAGGGTGCTCTTGACGTGGGAAAAGGCAGGGACAAAGGCCTGTAGGTGGGTGCGAGGGAGAAGGGACCAGGGAAGCAGCTGGGACAGGAAGAATGGGGCTCCCCAAGGTCACCCAAACTGTAGAGGCCCAGTTTCCTCCCACCTACATTCCCTGGGAAGAAGGGGAGGAGGGGGAGGTAATTGGACCAGTACCTTCCTGAAAGACTGCCCAGGGGCACAGCTTAATGAGGGGTTAGGGGCCCCCAGCCCCCCTTCACCAGAGAGAAAACGGGTATACTTTGAAGTCTAAATGTTTGCCGTGTAGGCAGCCTGGGTTCAAATCCTGCCCCTAACCCCCACTGCCAAGCAGGATGACTCAGTTTCCTTCAGGGGGACCACTCTGGGGTCAGAGTCCTATGCCCACTGGTTCAGCAAACCTTGCCTGAGAACCTACTATGTGTGGCCCTCCAACTTCCTTTTGGAACTGTTATTCCCAAACTCAGCTCCCTTCTCCACCTACTATGTGTCCAGGAAGTGGGCGGAGCGGTCCCGGGAGGAAGCTGAGGGGGAGCCGCCATCTAGAAGGAAATTGTCTTGTCGGGCCCAGAGAGGGTGGGTGATGGGTCCCAGGTCACACACAGGGAGCTGGGTGCCCAGGTGTGGCTGCCAGGCCCTGGCCTGCTGTCCCCCACCCCCTCCCAGCCCTCGGTCTGTGTCGCAAGATTGGTGCAGACAGGTTACCCCGCCCTGACCTGGTGCCAATCCCCGCCTGGCCCGGTCCCTGCTATAATGGGAAAGAATGCTGTGTCCAGATCAGGGGAGGGGGGCGGGGGGCACTGCCCAACCAACAGGAGTGCCTGCCAGCTGCCTGCCCGCCCCCTGCCCGCTTGGGCCTCAGGGCCAGACAAACAGGCCCTCGGCCATTTTCCCTGTCCATTTATTGCCCTAAATGGGGAGGGGCTTCCTGCCCAGGCCTTAAAGGGCCAGAGGCAGGAAGGCTGCAGGCCCAGCGGGAAGTGTGAGTGGGTGGGGGGAATGAGGAGGCCCTGGAGATCTCATCTGATTCCCAGTTGAAGGGTGGGGCTGGGGCCCACCCTATTCCCACGCTCAGGATTCAGCCCCAAGACCAGGCCTGGCTTGGAGGAAGCCGGGGGGCCATCCATAATGGAAAAAGAATGAGCTTCCCATCATTGGGGGTATGCAAAGGCAGTTCTGCAGAATTCTGTCACTATCCATGCCACCCTCAGTTCAGGCTGCACCTGCTTATCCAAGATGCCCAGGAGTGCTTCCAGCTCCTCTCCTGTGACTGGCTTGTCACCTGTGTGTATACGAGCGTATACACACACACCCAGCCTGAGCAGGTAAAGACAACAGCCTGGGAAGCCCCCAGTTAAAGGTTTGTGCCCACAGTAGCCGGTTAGATGGGAGGTGGGACCAGGCCTTGTTTTCCAGTCAAACCAGAAAGGCGTGGGTGGGGACGCTTCCACTGAGTGGCCGGCCTCAGCCTGCTGAGGGGACAGATGGAAGGGCTGGCTTTCTGGCCATATTTCTCCTAGGTGCCGGCCTTTCCACCAGCCAGCACCTTCTGTGCCTTGGTGGTGACAACTCAGAGCTTGGGCTTCAGGCGGGGGCCGGGACCATCACAGCAGGTATTAAGCCCATCAGTCCTTACAGCACTGGAAAGCGGGATCTGGAGTCAGCATCCCATTTTACAGATTGGAAACTGAGGCTCTGAGAGGGGTGGCAATTTGCCTGGAGGCATACAGCAGAGCCACTGGGCTCTGACCTCCCTAACTAAACCAATCCCCTACAGCCGCCAATCCCCTACAGCCGTTCCTCTCATGCCCCTGAGAAGGCAGCTGCCTTCCTCAGGGCAAGAGTTTGCCCAAACTCATTTAAGAAGCCTGGAGCCTGGGACAAACCCAGAGTCCAGCTGATTTCAGTGAACTCAGGGTCACTTAACAAACATTCCCAGGGAGTCACCATCCCAATGATGGACACTTCTGAGCCGACAGTAATCTCCCCATTGTACTGGTGGAGAAATTGAGGTTGGTGGACAGGACGTGGACTTTAGGTGGAGCCGAGAGCCAGGCAAGAGCCAGGCCAGGCTGGGATCAGACCATGCTTACCCCCACCCGAGCCTGTTTCTCTGGTCCCCGCTGCCCTGGGCCGTAACAGGGTGGTTTATGATCTGATCTGTGCCTGGGGCACCAGGTGATAGGTGGGAGGGGGTCCTGAGTCTGGTGACCCCACACCCAATCCCTCCTGAGCCAAGTGCCTCCGGCAGAGCAAGACAGAGCCCACCTGGAGAGATCACACTAAAACACAATCAAACTCATGGTCTTACAGAGAGGTATGTGCATGCGAAAAGAAAGTAATCCCCAAAAGTGACCCATGAATTAAAATTTCAGTGACCCCCCCATTGGCCACAGGGCTGGTCCAAGGTCACAGGGCAGCTAGGCCGGCATTCGAATCCTGCCACAACCTCTTGGATTACCAGTTTTGGTACCATGACCGGCTCTGAAACAATGGGGTCATAAATCCAGAGCCCAGCCCGCCTCTGAGGGCCAAGGTGCGGGCTGGTGGCTAAGGAAGGGCACCCATAAACGTGTCCTCAATGAGGCTGGGTGGCAGGATCATGGGGCTCACGCTGTGTGACCTTGGGCATCTTGCTTGCCCTCTCTGAGCTCCAGAGAGGGTTGACTCAGTTGGCAAGTGCCTTAGCCAGAGTTTAGATCACCCATCTCCAGCTGGATCAATGATAGGTGGGCAGGTGCCCCCAGTCCAAGTCTCAGTGAGGACTTTGGCCAGATCCTGGGCCAGGAGGCAGGACCACAGGGGCTCAGTCCAGCTCCAGCTAGGTGACCTTGGTCAGGTCTCTGCCTCCCTTCAGGCCTCAGTGTCCCCCACCCACGCGGACACCTGCTCCAGGCTCTTCCAAAACCCCCAGTCTAAAACCCCAGGTTGCCAGGATCACAGTCTGCTTTCCCTCTGGGCCTTGGTTTCCCATTTAGCAATGGGGACCGTGCCACCTGCTGTGCACAGTGTGGGTTGAGAAGCCCCCTGCAATGTGGGATCTGCACCCAAGGAATAGGTGTAAAAAAGACCCCCGCCCCGCCTCCAAAAAAAATCCACCATCTAGGGTTTGTTCATACCCCAGGAATCTGCCCTGCTGGACCCAGGTTGAGTTTGGCCTCCTCAGAGCCTCAGTTTTCCCCAACAGAGAAAAGGGCCCAGTGGCACTCTGCATTGTTGCTGAATAATAAATACTCCCCCCCTCAAAGTGAGCCACGAATTAAAATTTCAGCGTCCCGGTTGGCTCCTCTTTCCTTCATTAGCCATGCACAGCCCAGGACTCACTCCTGCTTCCCCCCCACCCCCAGGCTCTGTCGCCACAGTGATGGCTGGCTGGCGGTAAACAGAGCCCCGAGCCCAGCCTGCTCCGGGAGCCCCCCTGGGGGAAAAATTCCCCTGCCTGGGGCCCTGGGGAGCCTGGGCCTGACCCCCACCCAAGTCGCCAAAAGGATTTTGGGGCCTAGACTTCTCAAGACTTCTCCGCGTACCTTCTGCCAATAGGAAGTGATCGGCAGGCGGTTGGAAGCCCCCTGCAATGTGGGATCCGATCCGCACACTGGGGTTTACTGGGGAGGGGGGGATGACACGGAATCCTGGACAGGCAGGGAGTCCGGCTCCCGGAGACAGCTGGCAGGGAGGGGGCAGTGAGTGAGCCAGGTGGGCACCGCCCGGACAGGGGCGACGGCACCCCTCTCTCTCACTTCCGCCGGCTGGCTGGGGGTGGGGCAGGGAGAGGGGTGGCCTGCCTCCCTCTGCCGCGCCAACATCTCCGGGCTGCATTCCCCACGCACTTAGTGGGCGCCGACTGTGTGCCTGGGCCTGGTTGGCCAGTACCCTCCCTCTGCGGTCCACCGGGCTCCCCAGCTTGCCAACCGGCGCAGACAGTACCTACTGGGCCCCGTAAAGGCCTGAACCCGGGGGTGCACCGCCGACTACCCGCGAGGCTCAGCCCCCTGCTTACTCCCAGTCCAGGGGCTCGGGGGGGGGGGGGGGGGGGTGGAGAGCTAAACCCCAGAACAGGGAGGAAGGGCGGGCGCCGGATCCTACCAGCTCTCCCCCTGTTCGGCCCGAGCTCCGGGTTCGCACGTGGTGGTGGCGTCAAGGGGAAGGGGGGGTCCAGGCCGAGAAGCCGGAGTCACGCGCTTTGGGGGCGCGGGCGTGGGAGGAGGGTGCTCTTTACCCCAGCCCGGGGGCCTGGACCCGTCGGCTGCGCGGGCAGGCAAGGGGCCGGTCGGTCCCCCCACCCAGGGCTGACTCAGGCCGGGCGGGGGCAGGAAGTGGCCCCCTCCCCCACGCTGGCCGCAGCGCACGGCCCCTGCTGCGCTACCGCGCGGGGGGCTCCTACCTCCTTCCCGGGGCAGTGGCGAGGGGGCCCAGCCCCGGCGGCGGCGGTGGCGGCGGCTGTGCTGGCTCCCTCCGAGGGGCCGGGAGGCGGCAGTGAGCCTGGCCCCGCGCCACCCCCCGCCGCCGGCGGCCAATCCCCACCCGGACTGGGGGGAGGGCGATGCAAATTACCCCGGATCTGGGTCCGCCCGCCTCCCCCACGCCCGAGTCCGGCCTGCACCAGGCCGCGCATCCCCGGGCTCGCCTGCGCCGCGCGGCCGCTGGGGCCGCCGCCTTCCCCGGGGATCATCGGGTGGGGAGGCCCCCCGAGGCTGGGGGCCAAGGGGAGGGGGGTTGGGTACGGTTACACAACCAGGTGGGGAGGGGCCCCGGGGCGGGGAGGGGGCCGGCCCGCGGGCCGCGCAGCCGGAAGCCGGGGACCGCCACCGGCCCCCGGCGAGGGGAGCCGGGCTCCAGGCCCTGCCTCCGCGCCGGCCGGGCCCGCCCCCGCGCTGCGCCAGTAGCGCGCGCCCATAGGACGGCTGGCCCGCCGCTCACCGCCCCTCCTCCGCACCGCCCCTGCCCGCGGGCCGCGGACCGCCGCCGGCGCAGGGCAACCTGGGACTTGTAGTCTGAGCCGCCGGTCACCTGCCAGCCGCAGACGATGGGGTACTACGACGCCCAGAAGCCTTCGCGGCCCCGCCCGCCCACCCGGACACCCCACCCCTTCCCCCTCCTTTGCAAAGCCCCCCTCCCTGTTTTTTCAGCCCCCTCCCCCCCATCCCCCCATGGAGCTCAATCCCGGCCAACTCCAACGTATGCACGCAGCACCAAATAGGCCCCCGAGGGGCGCGAGCGCCCCCCGCACCCAGCTGCAAACTTAGCACGCGACGCGCCCCCCTCTCTCCTCACGCCGGCTCCCCCCACACTCAATGCAGCGACGCTTCCCCTCCCCCGCTCCCCGCGCGCCCCGAAAACCATGCACCCGGGGGGGGGGGGGGTCTGGCGCACGAGCCCATGCACTTCGTCCCGATCGCCCCCTCCCGGGCGGCGCCCCCTCTCCGAGCCCGGAATCCGGGGCGCCTCCAGCCTCCGGGCAGCCACCCCCTCCTCGGAAACTTGGGGACGGTCCCTGGATCTCCCCTCCGCAGAGGGCAGGGTGGGCGCAGTGCCCCTGGCCCGTTCCCTGCTGCACCAGGTCCCTGGGGCCGCGCCGAGCGCCCACTTACCTCGCGGGGCCGGGCCGGGGCGCGCGGGGCCGGGGCCCGGGGTGGGGACTGGGCTCCGGGCCGCTGGCCTCCGGGGTCCGGGCGTTCACTCGCTCGGCTTCCCCTCGCGCTGCGCCTCGCTCTCTCCGGCGGCGGCGGCGGCGTCACTGCCCCTACAGTAACTGTACAGTACAGCCAAAGCCCCGTATGATGCTCGCGACTCCCTTCCTGGTTTCTCCGAGGGCAAGAGGGGTCCTCCCTTGTCTTAAAGGTGCCGCAGCCGCCGGCCCCCCCCACCGCGCCCAGCCCGCCCCCCCCCCCCGGCCGGCTTGGAGCCTGGAACAGGCTCAGCAGGTCCCCTCTTGCCACGTCTCTGCCCTCCCGTGGGGCTTCGCCCGCTGCGCCGGGGAGCCCGGGTGGTTAGTAGGTTTTGTCAAGTTCAAGGGGGGGTCCGGCCCGCCCCTAGCGCACCCCCCCCCCGACCTCTCCGCCCCGTGCCGCGGCGCGGTGCCAGGTAGCCAGCTTATCTGGCCCCAGAGCTGCCCGGGGCACGGGGGTGAGCGGGCCCCCCGGGGCGGAGGGGGGTGGGGGCCTCCAGATAAACAGGCCCCTAGCCTCTGTGGCGGGCGGGGTGCGGGGGGGAGCGCGGGCTGTGCCCCCGACGCCCGGGGCGTGGCACGGTGGCAGCGGGGGCGGGGAGGGCTGTGCGCACAGCGAGGACGCGCGCGGGCGTGGGTCTCCGCGGGCAGGATCTCTGGAACTCGGGGTGTGGGCGCGACGGGCCTCAGTTTCCCCAGCCGCGCGAGGGAGCCGGGGCGAGCTGTTGAACGACGGCTCGGGCGCGCCCGGGCGCCCTCGGTGGCTCGGCCAACCTGCCCTCCTGCGATTATATAAATGAGTCGCCTCCACCCGCTGCGCCAGGGGTGTAGCGGGGGGCAGGGGTTGGCGAGGGGCGGAGAGGGCGGTTGTTTTCCCGGCTTGGTCAAGTGCCCCTACCCAACTGAGGGCTGCTGGGCGGGTCTGGGGACCCGACCCCGGACGCCTGGGTTCTGCGGGCCGCTCCCGCCAGGATCTGTGTGACTTGGAAGGGGCGGAGGTGGGGAGTGGGGAGGCGTTGGCTCGGCCCAACTTTTTTTGCCTGGCTTTTTCTCCCACTTCCTCCCCGGTCGTGGGAGAGGTCCGGCGGGGGACGGGGAAGGGGGAGGAGGGGACAAGTGATGAGAACAGCCGGGACCGGCCGGCTGACCGCTGCACTCAATAGGCGCTGGGGAGGGTCACCTGGTGTCCTCAGTTGCCTGTAGGCTCTGAGCCTCAGTTTCCCTTTCCTCCCATTCTCGGAAGGAGAGATCTGGCAGTCGCTGTAACTGCCACTTACGGAGCGCTTAGGGGTGGCAGGCTCTATCCGGGGTCCTGTTTGCCTCCATCCTGACATCTGATCCCATTGTCACTATTGTTATTATATTACAATTATTATTATTCCTCTTTTACCTTCCAGGAAAAAAAAAACAAACACAACCCAACTGCCCTGCAATGGGTAAGATTTACCCAGCCTGTCATTCTCCGACATCAAAGACTTTCCCCCTCCCCCTTTTATTACCTGCCTTCGAAACATATTAAAAGCGCCTTTCAAGTCCGAAACGAGTTATGTTGGCTTTTGTCATCATAATTTGGCTTCCAGGGGAGCCCCCAGAGGCCCCAAGAGGGGAAGGGACAGGCCCCAAGCCTTGAAGTCCAAAACTAGCTCCAGTACGTGGGAAAGGGTTGGAGTGAGGGGGCTGCTGGCTCAGGGTGGCAGTGGACTTTGCTCGAACGACTCCGCCTGGGATCTTATGAAACCACGGTCCACCAACCAAGGGTCCACCAGACTCCAGCACAAGAATCAAACGGGAAGCACTATCTTTGTGCTGGTTTACTAGCTGTAACACCCTGGGCCTCAACCCTACATGGTCTCCCCTCCAAGGGCTTCCAATTACAGTGATGCCAGTGACTCAGTTTCCCTTCCCACTCAGCCTGAGATCCTGCATGAAAAGACGTAGAGTAGCGTTTCTCCATAGCTGATCCCTGATTGAGGGCCATTGCAGTCTGACAGGCTGTGTGTGCCTCAGTTTGTTCCCCCCGCGGGTGCTTACTTTCACTGTTGTTTAACTGAGCACTCAGCAAGTGGGGTCCTGTTTGGTATTAGGTGCCATCGAGTCGGTACCGATTCATAGCCACAGTGACCCCATGCACAACAGAACAAAACACTGCCCAATCCCGGGCCAACCTCACAATGGTTGCCACACTTGAGCCCATTGATGCTGCCACTTTGCTAATCCATCTCACTGGGGGTCCTGTTTAGGGTCCTTCTAACAAGGAATCCAGAGTCCTTGCTGTGATGCTGCGGGTTAATGTGCTGGAATGCAAGGTCAGTTTGAACCGTACGGTCTGAGGTTCAAGTTCACCAGACGTTCCTTGGAGAGTTATTATGAGTCGGAACTGACTCCACAGCACATAACAACATAACAACAACAAAGAATACCATTGTGATGGTGATGGTAATAATATCGAAAGCTTGGTGGTTCAAACCCACCCATGAGAAAGACTTGGCAGTCTGTCTTCCCTAAAAATGACAGCCAAGAAAACCCTATGGGATGGTTTCGTTTAGGAATCAGCTGGAAAGGACACTACAACACCATCTAGTCCCATTGTTATGCTGATGGTGATGATGTATTGCATTGTAACCAGTTAACCAGTTGCCTTGGAGTGGAAATAACCCCGGGAGTGTTGAGTGCACTGAAAGTCAATACTTTCAGAATAAATCACCAGGCCATCCCTCCAAGGTGCTTCTGGGTGGGCTTCAATCGCTGACCTTTTGGTTACCAGCAGAATGTGTTTGCCATCTATGCCAGCCAGGGGTGCACCCCTAGGGATATAACAGTCTGATATCACCCCATCACGTCCTGGGAAGCAAGAGTTAGGATTCATCTCTTGAGGAAACCAAGGCCCAAAGAGGGACAGTGAGCAAGGACAACTGGCTCTGGGTTCTGCTAGAAGGACTGGAGTGGATAAAAGTAAAGGACAGAGCCCCTTTACACAGCCATCTTGCCCCTGTAGGAAAATGGGGGGAGGGCAACTCTTTGCTCTATCTCCCCATCCCTCAGTGCCTGCTCCCTCCCCATCAAAAAAAAAAAAAAAAAAATGCAGTCAAGTAGATAACTTTGTTGTTGTTGTTGTTTTTAATTGCAGTGAAAATACACACAACAGGGGGTGGGGGAGGGGAAATGAAGCGAATAGAGGTAAATGTTGCTAACTGATGGTACGTGGAGGGGCTTGCAATTATTGTAATGACACAAAGCCTTTAATTTGTTGAATGTCAGATTGATGATCTGTTCTGTAAAACTGTTGTGAATTCACAACAAAAAGTTAAAGAAGAGAAAATATACCAAGCAAAAACGTCACCAATTTCCATATATCCACTTCAGTGACATGGCGACATTAGACTTATTGTGCCAACGTTTGCATCTGACTTTTCCAGATTATTCTACCACCTTGAACCGAAACTCAGTGCCCCCCAAATAAAAACTCCTTTTCCCTCCTCCCTCCCACCCCTAGTCACCTTGAATAATCCTTGGTTTCTAGATATTTATTTATTTCCTAGACATCAGATCAGCCCGTATTTGCCTTTTTGTGATGGACTTAATCTGCTCAGCCTGAGATTTTCTAGGTCCATCCCTGTCTAGCATTTATCAAGACTTCATTTTTCTTTCCAGCTGAATCTTTCCCTCATCCCATCCCTGGGAACCACTAATAATCTTTGGTTTCTGTAGGTTTGCTTATTTCAGACGCAGTATTTGTGGTTTTGCGTTTGGTAACAGTCAGCATATCACTTTCAAGTCCCGCCCCCACCCCAGGTCATAGCAAGTATCAAAATTTCATTCTCTTTTATGGTTGAGTAATATTCCACCCCAAGGAGATGGATTGGCACAGTGGCAGCCAAAATGGGCTTCAAGCGTAACAATCGTAAGAATGGCGCAGGACCAGACAGTGTTCTGTTATATGCTATGAGTCAGAGCCACCTCGACTGCACCTAAAAACAATAATCCACTGTTTGTATAGACCACGTTTTGCTTATCCATTCAAGTCAACTCTTCAAAAACTTCATAAAGTTTAAAAGATTAAGTTACTGGGTGATCTTGGTTGGGAAGGTTATTTACCCTGTCTGGTACTCAGAATCCTTTAGAGAGAATCATCTAGAAACTTCTAGATAAGAGAAGTGCAACCAATCTTCCACCACACAAATATATATAAACAAAATGTTTACAGCAGCATTATTCACAATAGTCCCAAAGTGGAAACAACCCAAATGCCCATCAACTGGTGAAAGGATAAACAAAATTCACTATATACATACAGAGGAGTATTATTTGACTACTAAAAAAAAAAAAAGATGAAGTCTTGAGCAATGTGATCAACACAAATGTTACTGAATGGAACACACAAACATGGTGGAAATGGTCAATGTTCTGCTTCCTGTACAGTTGTATAACATTTTTGAAAGAATGAGATGAAGTACTGCTGTAACATGGTTGGATGGGCCTTGAAAACATGATGTTGCATGAAAGGAGCCAGACACCAAAGACCATGTGGTGTCTGATTCCATTGATAGGAAATGTCGAGAAGATAGAAAGTAGATTCTTGGTTCCAGGGGCTAGGAAGGGGGCAGAGGCTGCTGATGGGCTCGGGGTTTCCTTTCGGGTGATGAAAATGCTCTGAAATTAGATAGTGGTAATGGTTACACAACTCGGAATGCACAGAAAACCACTGCATTCTAGTCTTTAAAAGGCTGACTTGTATGGTATGTGAATTACATCCTAACACAATTAGAACCATACAAGTATATGTAAAATATCCTGATTCAGAAGCATTTTGCAGCCTATAAAACTTACGTGTATAGATATAGATATAATACAGACATCCATATACGAGTGTATATGTCCTGGTTTGGCACTGTAGGATAAGCACCCAACTGCTAACCAAAAGGTTAGTGGTTCAAACCCATCAGCCACTCCTCGGAAACTCTATATAGGGTCGCT